CAGAAACCTTGACTCCATGGCCTCCTCCCCTCACTCCCACTAAAAATTCCCCTACTACATCGACGGCGAGATCCGGAAGGTTGTCGTCCACCGATTGACAACCTTCTTCAGCTCCAGACCGCCACCGCTATTTGCCTTCTTCTCCAATTTTTTCATCGACACGATTAATCTGGGGAAAGGAACAACCTCCACCTCTTTCCCGACACCATCAATCTTGATTAGCTTGTTGTGGCAACTAGAGACAGAGGCAAATCGCCTCAATGACCGGGGAACGATAGGCACATACTTCCTTCAGCCTGATCTCCTTGACTCCTTGACCAACGACCAGAAATACTTCTCTCTTCCTGTGATCGAGGCATCGACGTGGCGACAGTTGTGGTGGTGGTCGCTAGCGAGAACTCTGGTTTATTATCATCCTCTACCTGGCGAAAACGGACTCACGGCGGTCAATTAAGTAATTTTTTATTTTGACATATCATTAAATTAACGGTCTAGTCAGCAGTTCCATTTGCCATGTCATAAAAAAACTGACGGAGTTAATGGAGACTAAGACTGGGTGCACCAGCATGGATTAGTGATGTGGTGCACCGAGCCAATCACGTCCTTCCAACTGGCCTTTAGTTATGAAAAATAAACTTTCCTTTTATTTTGTTGCGTTGCATATGAAACAATGAAGTTAACGAGCAAGCCTCTGTTTCACATCAAATAAATAGCCATGCCCGATAATTCAATCCTATGCTAGAACTATCAAATTCGGCAGACCAATTGAGAAAATCATGGAAAACTTATATTCCCGCAACTTGAATTGCTTAAATCAACTCCTCTATTCTATTTGAAACATCCTCTGTTTTTCGAACTAACTGAACAATGAAACAACCTCTGTTTTCCGAACTTGAATTGCTTAAATCAACTCCTCGACGAAGATCAAGATTAGAGACGAGGCGGCGAGATTGGTGTGAACATCTTGATTGGGCCTGAGTTATCGCTTCTCTGATTTGCGTCCTATCTCCGCCGTATTGAAAAACCTCCTCCCGGCATAAGAATTCAAGCGGTTAATGAAGGAAGAATGAGCAATCTCCACCATCATCAAGCTCTCAAGATCTCCCCACAAACTAGCTCAGTCTCACGTACGAGGCTGACGAATCGCTGTGCAGAGATGGAAATTATTTCTCGAATCCAGATCAATTTTGCACCAGCCACTGAGAAAGAAGTGCAGGGCGATAGTCTTTTCCTCAAAGCTCATCCTTTTCTTGCTCTATGGTTATCCCTAAATGAAAAAGGTCCAAGCGGAGCGTCAAGTCTCCCGCAACCACAAGAACGCAACGCAACAAAATAATAGGGAATATTATGTTTCAATATTTCTTTTTCATAATTAAATGCCACGTGGCGGGATGGATGTGATTAACTCGGTGCACCACATCACTATTCCATGCTGGTGCACCCTGCCTACTAAAGTTTTTCTCCTAAAATTGCTTAGCCATTTCTAAATGTGGTCCCTACAATCACATCATTAATTTTAGCAATTCATCACATCACAATTTGTAGTTATCTACATCCCTAAACTATGTTAGCAATTTCTAATGTGGACCCCATCTATTATTTCAACCAACCTCAACACATTGCAATTGAAAAGTTTGTAAGTAAGAAAAATAAAAAAGACAACAATTACCTATATGACATTGCTAAAATACTTTCTAATTTAGCAATCTTGCTAAATTAGAAAGTACTCTTACATTCCTAGCGATTGCTAGAAAACATAAACTCCAACTCACTTAATTAAGCAATTGCTAAAGTTTGGGGATGGAGATGGTCGCCAGTGACTAACGGTGAAACGATTTGTAAAGTTAGTGGTTAATAAGAAAGAAAAGTAATTAGAGTGTCAAACATGAAAAATTTATGTAATTTGAGTGACCAAACGTGTAATTTAGCCATATTTTTATTATTATTTTGTACGATTCAGTAACATAGATTTGGGTGTATAATAAAATGATAATTTTCATCAATTTTTCATCCAAAATTCACTAAAGCAATATAAAAATATAAAAACAAAATTTTTATCTCACCATCCAAACCAACTGACCGATCTAGCTCAACCCTCTGAACTCATTTGACATTATAGACTTATGTTTAAATTCTTTATGTCCATTTGGTTACCTTATGAAGATAAGTGTAAAGATTTTGTTACGATATGAAAGGGTTGGTGCTCATTCCATTTCTATTGAGCAATTTTTTGAACATGGAGTTATAAAGTTGATAGTTCTATAACCATCTTGTTCATTTTTTTTTAATGGAAATGTATCACGGCTCTCGTTCAAGCATTCTAGAGCATATTTTGCACCAATTCAAAAGTTTCCAAGCACCCAATTGACTCAACAAACCATAACATTCAGAATAATAGATGGAACAAGGGTTTGGATTTTTTTCGAGCAAAAAATATTAATTTTGACTTGGAAAAGATGATTATGAAATCAAATGGATCGGAAAATCCCGATCCACTCAACGATAGAGACAACTGATGAACTTCTAATCTTCTTACTCCATTTTCTAAATTTTAAGATGGGTGATGTCTATTTTTTATCCAAACCTTTTTTAGATTCTTTTATATTATTCAAACCTATTAAAATGTTATTAATTAGCCAAATATTTCGTAATGCATGAAAATATTAACCATTTTTACATTATCGTTAATAATTTTGTAACTATTTTCCTAGTTAAAATACTAAAATTTGGAATGTTGACCTTCATGTGTTTCTTTCAAGTCAGTATCATATTGCCAAGTCAATATTACTAACAAAATTGCTAACTGAAAGTTAATATTTGGCTAACTCTTAGTATTTCGATAGGTTTGGATAATATAAAAGAATCCGAAAAATATTTGAATAAAAAATAGACATTACCCGTTTAAGATTTATTCTGTTAGTTGGGAGCTTGAAAACTCTTGAATTGATCAAAATGAAGTACCTAAGATTATACCAAGGTGGTATGAATGATTGGAGAAATAAACTAACCATCATTTATCATCTTTCACTACTTTCTACCATCAGTTACCATCCTAGCTATACTAGGATGATATATTTGGTCCTGAATTTTTTTCCTGAAATTTGTAGATCACAATATATCACGATGAACTCGTTACTTATTTGCAATTTTGTAAATATTTTAGTTAAAAAAAAGTTGATATAGTGTAGTACCAGGTGGCACCAAGGTTGAAACGAGTTGTAAAAAAAATACAAGTCACTTAACTCATCCTTTATATATGGCCACACTACAAACCAAAAGACCATATCTAATTATGCACCCTAGCCTAGGGATTGTTTGGATGGGGAATATTGTGTAAATGACCGATTTGGGTCCAAATCACTCATTTAAAAACCCAGACATTCGTTATAAGAGATTTAGGGTAAATTCCTTGTTTGTTTATAGATTCAAGCTTTCATTTAAAAGGGTAAAATACTATTTTATCTCCTATTATCTTTCCCCCCATTCACCCATTTGCCCACCATCAAAATATGTTGTGAAGCCTTGCCAACTTCCTCGATCATGGACTCCTTTAACTGGACGAAGTAGTGGAGGAGGATTGTCGGCATAGAGGTGAAGGCGGCTGGTCCTGCTTATCGACGGAGTTGTCGGCGGAGAGCAACCTTCCAGCTTGTCGCTTGATGACGCTCAATTTATAGTATTTTTCATTCTCATATTTGATACATTTTCTCCTTATATCAATGCTTTTATAGTATATTTTCATATATTTTGTACTTAAGTTGTAAATATTTGATTAGTGAGCATTTGATAGAACTAGCTTGTATTTTGTACTCTTTTATGCCTTTTTTATATGTTTTGTGTTTTTCAAGGTAACATACAATCTAGGCGGATTTGTATCAAGCATTGGACTAATTTAGAGGACCAAAGGAGCAAAAGAGAGAAGAATAAGGAGTTTTCCTGCAAAAGACGAGGTCCAATTAATGAGTGAGAAACCTATTGGGAATCACCACTAGAGCTAAGGAGGAGCCCAATGGAGGTAGACTCGACCCAAGTCGAAGGAAAAATCAATGACAGCCTAGCGTTGGGTTCAACCGTCACTCAACAAACTTGGTCAAATCACGAAGATGTCTTCAGTAGAGGTTGTTTATGCATTAAGGAAGTCAGCCCACAAAGAAAACTAGTGATGGTTCCAGCCACCATTCAGAGGCCCAAGCCCCCAAAAAATCCAAAAGGCCTTGCTTTGTCTCCAAGCCAGAGAAAACAAGTCCTTGTAGGGTTAGGAAGGTTGTGGCCGAGTTTTACCTCTATAAATAGGGAGCTAGACTCATTAGTTCAGTAGGCCCTAGATGATTTTGGTCTTTCACAGCGGAAACAGGTTACACAAATCCATTCAAAAATTCTGTAGACATTCTGTTCGAGTGAAAGCTTAGCAATCGTACGAGAGAGTGCAACTAAGGATATGCCTTCATCATCAATGGAGTTACCCTCCTTAGCTTCTATGTATAGTTAGTTCAAAATTGATTGCTTAGCAATGTGAACTCGTTTATCTTTATTTATATTTGATGTTATAATTTCATATTATGCTTGTGTTTGTGCTTCTAAATTCGATGCCCATCACGTATATATGTGTAGACACCACATTTCGTCCGGGCAATTTACTAATTATGGCTACCAATTAAAAGGAGTTAAGAGCTCACATTGTTTTGGATTAGCCATAGCAAATCTTAAACCATCCTTTGCTTTGAACTTGGATCTTGGGGACATATGTAATTATTTTTTCTTGATTAAACGAGGTTGGCTGGGCACAAGGTTAAACAAGTTTAGCAATATAGCTAACTTTTATAAATTCAATAGAGTTGTTATCCATCAACAATTGGCTTTGAGAACTTGGGACTCGGTATTAGAATGATAATGAAAGGAAAATAAAAGAAAAGAATTTTTATTAAAACTATCATTATTCTACATGGCAATTACTAACCTCACACAATTATAATTCATTGCAATTGTACAAAATAAAAGGACCTAGATCAAGCCCAAAGTCAACTAGTCAAATCTTGTCTACAAAAATTGGGGTCAAGTCAAACCCAAAGCCCACGGTCAATGCCAGTCTACAAGTTAGGGACCAATCCAGGTCAAAGGCCAAAGTCAACTGGTCAAACCTAGTCAACATAAGTCAAAACCCAAAATCAACTCCTACCAAGCCCAATCCAACATAGGGTCTACTAACTAAAAAAAACCAATCAGAAAAGTACAGAAAGACTACTACCCTCAAAGCCAATCAAATTACACCACAAGTCTAAGCTATAGTGTGTATCTCTATTATAAAAGAGAGCTTTGGGGTACAGAGAAGAGGGAGCCTTTTTCTTCTTTCCCACGTCTCTGCTCACTATTCTTTCTTCTCCTTCTTCTCCAGTTTTGTATGGACTTTCGGGTCCATGAAAGTAAACCCTATTTTCTTCTTACTTGCTCTTTCTTCTTCTTCTGGCCCTTGCTCTTTCTTCTTCTTCTGGCTCAAACCCACAAACAGACAACACCAAGAACATAACACAATCCCTCTTCAAAATCTCAGCTTCTTCTCCTTTTCTTCTTGGCTACAAAACACGCACAAACAAATCAAAGACAAAAGAACAACAACACAAAATTCTCATTCCACAATTTTCATAGCCACGTACAACCACAAAGAGAGACAAGAAAAAACTTAAGTTTCTACTTCTACTATTGTTGCTTCTTCACAAACCCGCACAACAACAAAACAGACTAAAAAATGGAAAAGGAGGCAGCAACAAAAAGTTACAAAGGAAGCAATTAAACATCCACAGAAGTTTTTTTTTTTTTTTTGAGCTAACATCCACAGAAGTTGAGGAAAAGGATGCAGAGTCATCATTAAACTACAAGCAACAAGGTTGGTATCTCATTACCTAATCATCACCATCATCTATCATTTCTCTACCACCTCTATTTCTACATCGCTTCAACAAAACGGTTTTAAGAGTAGTATCTACTTAATCGACACTTTAAGCAAAGCAAAAAATGGAAATTTCACTATAACGATGAAGCAATCAATTAAACCATATTACTTTACTTCCTTCCTACTTCTATTTGAGTTTTACTCATTCAAGCACTTCGATGTTTAGGCGCGTATCACAAATAAAACCATTTTTAGTTTTTCTTTGACTACTTTGCTCTACTTAGTATACTCATTTACAAAACTAAATTAACATCCAAATCATAAGTTAAAAAACATATTCGATTAACATAATCGTACGACTCGACTCAAACTTTTGGAGGTATATTCCAAATATACCAAAAAGCAATCAAGCAAAAGCTCCACAACTCCTCATCCCAAATTTCCATAGTCTTTCATCACAAAACAGAGCGCCTAAAACCAAAAACCAACTCAACACACAATTTCCATATTTGAATCACCTAACTACACTATCACCACAAACCAAACATATTTTAATCTATCATGTTAAAATTCATTTTTTTAAATTTGAAGCTTCATAATTATTAAGTTGAGTCTAGAACAATTCCAAATCTCATGTCCATTTAAACCAGATCTCCCAAAAACCCAGAATTCAAAAACTTCGAAACCTAGATCAAGCTAATAAACTACTATCGCTACTATATGTTCATCCCAAAAAGTAGCCACAAACACACCACTCCAACCACTGAAATACTCTCCAATTAAACCGAAACACAATCCACAACTAAAAAAACTCACCAAAAGGAGATTTAACCTTCGTCGTCATTCTCGCCACCAATGAAACTCAGGGAGCCCGAAGGCCTTCTTTTCCTTCCATTCCCCCTGCCTTCTTTACTTCTTCCATAATCGAAAACCCAATAAAGACAGGTCAGAAACTCGTTGAAATCCAAAATAAAATATACCAAAACAATAAAAGATAAAGCTTTACCCTAATTGCACGCCGCCGCAGTCGGCGTTTTCCCCGACACTAGCGCCGTCATCGGCGTTGAAATCACCAGAGCTTGCTCCTTCTCCTCTCCTCGAATAGAAACCCCAAATTTCCAAACAAAAATAAAAATTAGATATGGAAAATTCAAAAAATGTGACATGCAAACCCGAGAAACACCTACCTCTCATCGCCGCCGGCCGACTCTGTCTTTTCCCCCCTTCCTTCTCGCGGTCGAAACCCAAAAATGCTTCATTTAAAACCAACAAAAACCCACATTCAAACCATAAAATCGATATGCAATGGGAAGAGACATCTCTTACCTTCTATCTCTCCGCCATTACTGTCGTGGGCGTCATTCGCCGCCGTTGTCTCTTTCTCCTTTCCCCCATGTTGTTTCCAAAAAAGAGAAGATAGAGAAAGGGGCAAGTCGGGAAATGGAAGCGGAGAGAGAATCTGAGATATGGGAGGATGTGAGAAGAGTTTTCGTGTTCTTTCTTACTTTTTTTTTTTGTAGAAAACAGACGCAAAAAGCGTCTAGCTCTTATTAATAACCTTTTTTGTTGGGTAATTCCCATAACATCGTAAGAAAGCCACTGCCTAAAATATGGGTCACACTCATCAAAATGATGTGTGCCAAAAGGGAGATCATGACCCTTCTTAGCTAAGTAATCTGCAACAACATTACATTCTCTGAACACATGAGCAATCCTAACATCCCAGTCAAAATTCAATACTCTATTGATCTTCTGGGCGAGCAGCCTGTGTCTATTGTGATTATCATCACTACATCTGATAGTGGCGATGGCTGTTGCCGAATCTAGGTTGAGAGCCACTTTGCGGTAGCCCTTTCTCCACGCCAGATTCAGTCCTTCAATCGCCCCTTTTAACTCAGCACTAGTAATGGAACAGGACCCCATATTGCATGCGAAAGCTCCATGGCATCTACCAAGGTGATCTCGAATGAGACCTCCTGCAGCAGCACTACCCAAAATCGTCACAACCAAACCATCTGTTTGTACCTGCATCTATCCTTCCAAAGGCGGTTCCCAGGAAACATCCTTTTGGATATGCACTTTATCTTTCCCAGGAGAGCTCTTCTGATCGCAAATCTCAGACTATTTAATGATGTTGAACCAAGCTTCAATATGCACCAGCAGCCCCTCGTAAGAGAAGGTCTTCCCATCCATAACTTCCTCGTTGCGCTGCTTCCACAAGTTCCAGCAAATAATCCCAAATTGAACACCTCTATCATGATCAAGCGGATTATTTAAAAACCACGAATGGAAGTTGGAGTCTGCATTGTTATCAAACAACACCCTCCTCATTCTCCTCCAAATGCATGCATCCTCGTTACACGATCTGAGGATATGTTCCATCGTTTCTTCTTTGTCAGAGCAGTGGTTGTAATTGCCATTGTTCGTCAGCTTCAACTTAGCTCTTCTCTGGTTTGTGAACTGCAAAAACCAAAAGGAAATCAATAATAAAAATATCCTTGTCAATCCACGGATGGATCCAAAAACCAGTCGTGTGACCATTCCTCACACTCCATATGGAAGCACTTTTCATAATCAGCAAGGCTTTCACAAGCACCCTCCATAGGTTAGAGTGATTACTCTTTTGCATTGAGATAATCTCCCCACCCCTATGATTAAAATACTTACCTTGGAGTACTTTTACCCAAAGATTAGACTCATTGTTAACCATTTGCCAAGCACTTTTAACCATATAAGCAAGCAAATCTAAGACCCAAACCCCCCTGTTCCTTGGGTTTACAAATTGTTTCCTAAGAAGCAAGGTGAGCTTTACGTTTCCCAACTTGGGAAACCCACACAAATCCTCTAATTTTCCTATCAATCTCCTCACACATAGAAAGGGGGAGCGAAGAGGACTGCATGGCAAAGGAGGGGATGGCATTAAACACTACCATGCCCAGAGTCACCCTTCCTGCTAAGGATAAGGTCTTGGCTTTCCATCCAGACATCTTACGGTCCATTTTATCAAGGATATACCTATAGGTGTCCCGGGTCAGTCTACCATAGAGAATAGGGACTCTAAGATACCTGCCCAGATATGTAGTAGACTGTATCACAAGGCAAGCAAAAACATCTTTACGGCACTGGCTAGACACATTCTTAGAAAATAAAACCCTAGACTTATCTTTGCTAATCAATTCACCAGACGCCAAACAAAAACTATCCATACATCGCATGATCATATCAGATTGGGGACAGTTGGCTTCAGCAAACAACACAAGGTTGTCCGCAAAGAAAAGATGAGACAAGGCATGTCCCTCTTTAGACAGAAAAATAGGTTTCCAGTTTTCATCCACAACTTCAATATGAATAATATGACTTAGTCTTTCAATACACAACGTAAAGAGGTAGGGTGAGAGATGACATCCCTGACAGAGGCCGCGACTTGGCTTGAATCCCTCTGAGGTTCCTCCATTCCAAAGGACATTAAACTTCATTGAGGTGACACATCCCATAATCAGCCGTATGCAGTCTTCAGGAGATAAGCAAGTCTCAAAGTTTCTTCCAAGAACTTCCAGTCGATGCGATCATACACCTTAGCCAAGTCCACTTTTAGTAGCATCAACCCTTTCTTTCTCAACTTGAGGGATATAGAATGCATAGTTTCTTGCAAAATCAAGATGTTATCAGTAATGTGTCTCTTTGGGACAAAACTCGACTGGTTCTAATGAATAAGATGGGTTATTAAAGTTTTAAGAAGATTGGCAATACATTTGGCAACAACTTTATACCCTACGTTACACAAACTTATAGGCCGAAATTGATCCATGGAACAAGGGGCTTCAGTTTTCGGAATCAGGACAAGAAGGGTAGAGTTACCTGCTCTAATGGCCTCTGGGTTCCTAAAACAAGAAGCAACAAACCTAGAGAAATCCACTCCCACAATATCCCACATCTTTTGGTAGAAGATCGCGTGAAAGCCATCTAGCCTCAGGGCTTTCAAACCACCCATCTTCATGACGATCTCCCTAACTTCATCCATCGAGGGTGTTAGCCCAACTCTAACAAGACCATCACCATTAATCCTAGGAAAATCAGCAGGCAGAGAGACACTGGTCCAACCATTAATACAAGAAAAGAGGTTGTCGAAATACTCCCTGGTAAGTTAGAGAAGGTCTTCTGGATCCGAGATCCATATCCATTCTCATCTTTTCAGCTTAGTGATCCGGTTTCTTTTCCTTTGTGTAAGGGTACTAGTGTGGAAAAATCTTGTATTCTTGTCTCCTTGCAACACCATCTTTGCTCTTGACTTTTGTCTCCATAGGAGCTCTTCCTGCCACAAGGTGTTCTCAAGCTCCTCTCTTGTAGTATGCTCCTGATTTCGACTAGCAATTGAAGGACCTCTCTCATTCCTAACTTCCAACTTGCCAAGACGATTCAGGAGTTGCCTCTTCCTTCTGAAAATATTCCCGAACACCTCTTTATTCCAGTCTTGAAGCTTCTCCGTAAGATCCTGCAAAAAAGGTAAGAAGTCAGTCCCAGAATTCCAGTAAGAGAAAACTAATTCAAAGAAATCATCATGGGCCAGCCAAAGAGCAAGGATTTAAAACCTTCTCACCAGGGGTGTTTTGTTCTTCAACCTTTCATTATGAGTCAAATTAAGACGATGATCTGACTTAAGCTTGGGGATATTGAAATTCATAGTATATTGATACTCTTCAATCCATTCAATGTTGCAAATGCGCCTGTCAAGTCTTTCCTTTAACCCCGACTTCCTCGTAGCCTAGGTGAACTTTAGGTCAATGAAACCAATGTCCATCAACCCACAATCAGCGATACAGTCATTGAAAGTTTTCACTCTAGCAGATTGCACATAGAATCGCCCTTCTTCTCAGAAGGATGAGATCGAGTTGAAGTGATCGATGAGCATCCACGGCCTGTCCATCCTCCTTGCAAGCCTTCTAATGGAGGTACATGGAGTTCCTCTTTCATGCTCGTTAGGGCAAGCATAAAACTCAGTCAAACACCCAACCTGTTTCCTCCCTATCCAAACAGACATACGGACAAATGCGCCTGTCAAGTCTTTCCTTTAACCCCAACTTCCTCGTAGCCTAGGTGAACTTTGGGCCAATGAAACCAATGTCCATCAACCCACAATCAGCGATACAGTCATTGAAATTCGTCACTCTAGCAGGATTGAACATAGCATCGCCCTTCTTCTCAGAAGGATGAGATCGAGTTGAAGTGATCGATGAGCATCCACGGCATGTCCATCCTCCTTGCAAGCCTTCTAATGGAGGTACATGGAGTTCCTCTTTCATGCTCGTTAGGGCAAGCATAAAACGCAGTCAAACACCCAACCTGTTTCCTCCCTGTCCAAACAGACATACGGACAAACTGCTTATCCTTGTCCAACTAATGCAGCTGCACCTGGTTGCTTCCCAAAGCACCGAAATTCCTCATCTGAACCCAACATCATCAGACACTTCAGACGAATCAAAACCAAGGGTATTGATGACCTCCTTGGACTTAACACCACTAATCTGTGGCTCCAGAATGCAAACAATATTAGGTGAATTCTCAGACTTAAGCAAGTTAAAGGAAGGCTTGAAATTAGGGGGCTTAGCACCTCTACGATTCCAGGATAAGACACTAATCATAGAAATGAAAAGAGAAAGTTCCCATAAGCCGACCCCAAGGTCAGCAGCATCACTGAGGATCGACGGCCATAGCCATCCCATCCATGATTACCCCAACATCAGGCGCAACCTCAGATAGACAATGGGCACTTTCTAGCCCTGACTTAACTTCGAGCTGATTTGCTTCAAAATCTAGTTTCCTAGAGTGGCTCTCGCTACTCACGGCACTGTCCAGAGGATTTTCCTTCACCGGTTGAGTCTTTCACTAAGATCCCTTTCCCTGGCTTGGAAGTCGCTCTCCCTTGTGATTTGGGACTCAGCTCCTTCCGAGCAACCATTGAGGAAGATGGGCCTTTCCCCTTTTCCTCATTGGAAACTCCTTGTTCGAGGATGACAAGTGAGGATTTCTGATTCTCCTTCTCGTTAAACAAAACAGATTTCGTTCCCTTCTCTTTTGTGACCTTCCTTTCCTTGTTTCTAATGCTATTATTTCTTTTATTTTACCTTCCTTTTCTTTCTCATGCCCTTCCTATAGGAAGGCTTGATCATTGTTACTGCTAGGTAAAGTCTCATAGTGGTGCTTCACTTCCATATCTTCTTCCTCTTCCTCAGAATCCACCTCTTCTGTTGCAAGGGCATCAAACCGTGAACCAACCTTCCCATTATCCTTAGATTTTCTTGTGGTAGCATCTTCTTCCGTATTCATTATGTTCTTGTGCTGTTGGACTCTTCTTCGCAGTTTAGAAGCCAGCATCCACGACCCGAAATCTTCTAAGATTTCTAGTCTAATCTCTTGCCTGACCCTCTGCGAGTTCCCTTCCTTGAGTTTATCTTTGGGAGATGTGTGATCAAAAGTAGCAAGGCTGAGGCAGCTCTCCTCTAAATTCCCGTAGTGACCACAGCTAAAACAGATGGTACAGAGTCCTTCATACTAAACCCTTCTAACCCTTCTCTTGATCCGACATTAGAAACTAGTCTCT